GTACGTACGTACGTACGTACGTACGTACGTACGTACGTACGACGTACGACGTACGTACGTACGTACGTACGTACGTACGTACGTACGTACGTACGACGAGAGAGAGAGAGAGAGAGAGAGAGAGAGAGAAGAGAGAGAGAGAGAGAGAGAGAGAGAGAGAGAGAGAGAGAGAGAGAGGGACCTTGGGGTCGCGGACTTCATCGACAATGCAGGGGGAAGCGAGATGAAAGACACCAACGGCGCCATCAATGGCCGCAAAGAGTGAGTCATAGTTGAGAAGGTCCACTTGGTGGAGGCGCAGTCTGCTTTCCGCACCTTCTAATCCTTGCAGGTGCTTCGTCTCCTTTTCGTTTCCTTCAAATCACACATAAAATTCAGAAGAGAGAGACACAGAGGACATGAGTTTCAGTTGAGAAAGAGAGAACTGCAAATGAATGAGAAGAATTGAGAGAGAGATTACTGAGGTCTTGGACAGTGGCTCGAACAGTATAACCTCGGTCGAGAAGGAGGCGAACAAGGGTTGAGCCAATGAACCCGCTACCTCCGGTCACACACACACACTCTTCCCTCGCCATATCTCTCTCTCTCTCTAGTTTTTTTGCTGGTAGAGGAACCTGAAAATGGCGTTTCTCTCTCTAGTTTTCTTGCTGGTAGAGGAACCTGAAAATGGTGTTTCTCTCTCTAGTTTTCTTGCTTGTAGAGGAACCTGAAAATGGTGTTTCTCTCTCTACTTTTCCCGCTGGAAAGGAGCAGGAGGGAATATTTCAGTCGCAGTCGTATGACAAGTGTGGGCTTTGCGCAACGATGGCAATTTAGCCACTAAGATTAAATATGGTTTGATAAGGCTGCAGCCTTTTTAAAATAAGTAAAGCCTCACCTCGTAACTCGTTAAAAAAGGAAAAAGTTTATATAGAGCCGAGGCTCTAAACCATCAAATTAGAGCCCACCTCAAAAATTTCAGTAGAACAAGTTGTTTTGATGCCCAAATATATTGAAATTGATCATCTCAACATCAAGATGCATAGGCATGAATAAAAAAATAGATTTTAAGTTTTAAAAATAATGCATCTTGTAACGTATTTTTGGATAGTCAATTTTCAAGATTTTCAAGTTTTCATAGTTATGCTCAGTCTACACATTTTTTTAAGCTTTAAATTTTATAATTAAAAATAAAAATATATTTTAAGGCTATCACAAAGAGTTTCAGTATTGAAACTATATTTAGCGATATTATTTGAATGCTTTACTTTGATTGTTTAGTGCCTCGGCTCTATACAACCGCACCCCATTAAAAATTACAATTCAAATGTTGAAAAACTTTTAAATCAATTATCTCTGCTTGAACATTATGGTTGTGAGAAAAAATTAGGATTTCAAATTTTTTTTAAATAAGTATTCTATAACAAATCATTTAGACCATCCATTTTGTCTTAAAAATAAGTGTTCACATATCCACAAGTTATTTTTGGAGTTTAAAATTTTATTGCCAGTGTTAGAAATTAATTCTAGATTCATCATAAAGATTTCCGACATGAAAAGTGCTTTTGATATGAGGATTTGAAGTGAGGCTTCTATTTTGTTTTTGTAAAGCCCTATAGAAACTCCGTTCTTTATCTAGTTTAGTTTTGGTATGAATGTATTACCAATTGTGTGGGTGGATGCTCTATAACCTTCAGGCATAGGGAGCGCAATGGGCTGGGTGGTTTGGCCCGGCCCTAAAAAAGTTGGGCCTTTGTGGCCTGAGCAGTGCCAATCCGGTGCAATCTAGCCTGCCCAGTACTTTTTTCTATTTTTCTTTTGTTTTCTATTTAATTTTGGCCTGACTTTACATGGACAAGGGCCGTGCCAAGACCAAAGTTGGCCGTATATAATTTAAATTTGTCGCTCCAAGTCTAAATAGAGGCAAATCACAAACTTTCAGCCTTTATCAAACAAAATCATTAAAGAGGTTGAAAGATCATAATTAATAATAGAGGGTTTGTTTTTAATTATTTCTTTCGCTTATATACCCTTTTAATAAATATCGTAAATGCCTAAATTTTCCCTTGTTTGATGTTGGGAAACCTAAACTAGCAGGGGCATTTCTATGAAGAAAAAGTTTATATAAGTGTGAGGCTCTAAACAATCAAATTAGGGCACACTTAAAAAATTTCATTAGAAGAGGTTGTTTTGATGCCAAATATCCTTAAATTGATCATCTCGGCCTCAATATGCATGGAAGTGAAAAAAATGGATTTTAAATTTTGAAACTAGTGCATCTTGTAATGCATTTTTTAATTATTAGTCTTCAAGATTTTCAAGTTTTTATAAATCTCCTCGATGGCTATTTTTGAAGCTTTAAATGTTATAAATAGAGATGAAATTTATTAGATAAAAGACCTTTTATCTCCAAGAATATGTGCACTTTCTTGCATTCATGCAATCTCTCTCTCTTTAGATCTTAAAAGAAAAAGAACGTAATATCTCAATGATGAATTTTAAGGACATGCAATCCATCTCGATCTTAAATGCATTTAAGAGACACATCTCTCTCACTCTCTTTTAAAAAAATGTAATCTCTCTCTTTCAAATGCATTAAAGAGGAGACACATCTCTCTCACTCTCTTTTAAAAAAATGTAATCTCTCTCTTTCAAATGCATTAAAGAGTCTCGTCTCTCTCTCTTAGGTATTTATCTATGGGAAAAGTTTATATTAGGTTTCAACTTTAAAATGTAGAACTACGGATGCACCTCAAAAATCCATCGATAAAGGTTGTTTTAATGTTGAAAAACCCTATAATTGGTCAGCTCGACATTGAGATGTATGACTTTTTTAAAAAAAAAAAATTTTGAGTCTCAAAAATGGTGCATCTTACAACACATTATCTAGACCGTCTAATTCCAAGATTTTGTTATGTTTAAAGATCTACTTGATTTTAATCATTATTGGAGTTCAAAATTTAATAATTAGATTTGAAAATATATTTTGAGATCATCTTAAAAATATTTTACATCGAAATTATATGTTATGATAAAATTTGAAGATGCACCTTAAATGGATTGTTTAATATTGTAACCTTATAGAAACCACAACATATATCTATATCTTTAAAAAAGGTAAATCTGTCTCTCTTGTACCGGTAATTTGATGGATTTAAAAATGGAAAAAGTTTATATAAGTTTGCAACCTTAAAATATAGAATTACCACAAAAATCTATCGGAAATATTGTTTTAATTTTGAAAAAACACTCTAATCGATCATCTTGACATCCAGAAGTATGAATATGAAAAAAAAAGTTATTGAGTCCCGGAAATAGTGCATCTTGCAACATATTATCTAGATTTCAAGATTTTCATTTATTTATAGATCTACTTAATTTTAACTATTTTTGGAATTTAAAATTTTCTAATTAGGTATGAAAATAGATTTTAAGATAATAATAAGAATTTTTTACAACAAAATTACATGTTATGATAAAATTTTAAGATGCGCCTTAATTGTATTGTTTAAGGTTGAACCTTATAGAAACCGCACCCTTGAAAAATCTCTCTCTCTTACATGTAGTTTGATGTATTTAAAACACATGCAACCTCTCTGTCTATTAACTTCTAAAAAAGGTGATCTCTACTTCTAAAAAACGTGATCCCGAAGGACAATATTTTTGGCTTCCCTAACTCTATCCAATGCTGTGTATAATTTTCTTGCACACAAGATGGCATCTGAACCATGTTAATATATTATAGACTACGAATAGAACCCTAATTACAAATGTTTCCTTCAAGAAAGGAATTACACTTCTATTTAGCAGTGGTTATTGACCCATTTCAATTGCCTTCTACTTTCTACTAGAGCCATCGAAACCAGTTACAAGTAAAGCAAAACCCCAAAAAGAGACACAGACATTGCCCTTTAAAGGGTCCTACAAGAGTGGTAGTATATTTCTATCCTAAATTATTACTGCATCAAACATGTTCGACTTAGAATTCAACAAGCTTTAATGATATTAAGGGCCATAAGTAATAAAGCATTTTACCTCAAGAACCTCTTCAAGACAGGTATCCTTTCTCTTGTAAATTAGACACTGCGTCCTTAATTATCTCCTCCATTGGGATGAAGTTGAGGCCCAAGTCAATCAGCTTTTTTGATGGTTTTTTCGCCCTCAACAACCCAGGTTGAGTAACTTCCATGAACCTACAGAAACCAATAAAGAAAGTTAACGCATATCCGGGTCAATTAATGTAAGCATGTGTGTGTGCGCGCGCGAATGTCCACTGAGAGAATTTACCTAGGCACGTTGTATTCCGGGTAGAGTTTAGCAACTGCATCAGCAAAGTCGCTCCAGTGACAAATGGACTCAACACATAAATGCCTTCCTGAGGCTGATGGATTCTCATATAACAAGAGATGCCCTAATGCCACATCGGTAACATGTACAAAACCCATAAAAATATCTTTATAACATTCAGTATAACCTGCCATATCATATGAATCAATCAGGTCTCCCCAAGTAGAAAAATAAGTAGAGTCCAAATTTTAAGAACATGTACGCAAAAGAAGATAAGATAAAAAATTCCTGAGGCACTTGATATGGTACATCGGAGGTCTCATGCTTTGCCCAGCATGAAGAGGAAGAAACTTGATATAGCACATCAGAGGTCTCATGCTTTCCCAAACATGAAATGGAAGAACCTTTTTTCCTCCTCTGTTTTTTTTTTTTGGGTGATATCACCCATGTTTGTAAAGTCACTGACATGGAAATTTGGTGTATTATACGACTAGATTTGAGCTGCCCTCGAGTTTTCTTGATACAATTCAACATTTGGTCTCGCAGCTCACTTAGCAGGACAATTTTCTACATTTACTCAAAGAAAACCTAGAGTCATGAATTGGTATGGGTTCCATGTTGTATGATACAAAAAGTACAAAACCCGAAAGCATAGACTCACTTCTTTTTTTCCTTTAATTTTTGTTTTTTTTCTTAGATTGGTTAAATCTCTGACTTATTTGTCAGTCAATTGAGTCTAAACTTATGTTCACAGTTGATACACTACAATCCAGGTCCAATGAAAAGTTCACCCCCAAGAGCTAAGGGAGCCATTACCTCAAATTAAGTCTAGATTACATATAAATATTTGTTAGTTTGCAATTAAAGTTCCACACTCGAGCTATTAAACTTACCTATTAAGATTTGAAAGACCTTGCAAGTGTTAATGATACTATAATCAACTAGTTTGATGCTGAATTTCAGACCATGCTTCTAGTGAATAAATACTAGATGCTTTTTTTATCGATGCTTGGAAACGTACGGAATGTAAGAGTCCTGAAGAGTAGTCTAAGGAGAAATATCTATTAGAAAATGATTAGGTAACCCCCGAAGTTTTATGAACCACTTCTCATCCCTAGGAGAAAAAGCATGGCAGCTTGCCAACAATGTACAGTATATGAATATTGAAGCATATGCTTCACACCTAGAGGCACATGCCTATTACGGGGTGATCACTTTTTCTCAATTGGATAGGACATATCAGTTATTTCCTCTGTTAACTTCAGTTAGTTACTTCTTACTTTTTTCCTATAATCAACTTCTTTGTTACAACTTAATTGATTGAAGAATATTAACCATCAAACAAGGAAAGAGATACAGAACAAAGAGCGGGTATAGCATGCTCCTGCACGAGCAAAATTTACATTTACTCCCTTGGGTAAAAGAACTACTTAGCAGTATATTATTGTTCTAAAATTTTGGGATCCACTTCAGACCCATATATCCTCTCCTAATCAAAAGCCTGAAGAAAGAAGAAATGAAAATCTTAAGCCCACTAAGGAGAGCCTTGATATCAACCTCCATGGAATCTGCTCTCTAATCAAACCCACAAATGCATTCCAAACTGGAAGAAAGCATCCCTGACTAACCCCGCACATAGAAAGCCCATGTCCTGAAATTCCAAATTGAGTTTCAACACACCCTTTTGGCGAATGTCCACTAGCTTCCTTTGAATTCATGAAGGTTCCCATAAGACAACACATTCAACAAATGCAGTTTTCTTCAAAATGGGAGGGAAAGACAGAGATTAAGCAGCGCATGCCAAGAAGAACATATAAGATATCATGGAAAACAAGAAAGAAGGCTTTACTCGATCTTGTATACCAAGCTTCATTGTCTTCTTAGCCACTATGCACATCACGAAATGAATGAACAGAGAAGCCACAATATATGTAATCGCCGATGCACTTGTGAAGACAGCTAAAATTTTGAAAAAAGTTATACCCCCCTCATACATCAAGGTCACAGAAGCCTCAGCCACAAAATTACATACAAATAAGGATGAAACTTATCAAAACTTCGAAAGCAAGCGTGATTGAATATAGAGGATGGATGATCACCTTTCAAATTCACATATCCATGCTCAAGATTGTGCTTGTTTCTATGTGAGAATGCAAGCATGTGTCTAACTGAAGTAGTGTTTGGGATCATGGATCATTGGGGTGGATTGTCCACACCACATATCTATTTTGGATGACTGATCGGATTCGAGTTCAAGAGCCAGAAAAATATCATAAAAACAAAATAGTTTTCTTTTTTTCTTTTCCTTTTTCTTTTGGGTCTGGCAATGGGGAATGGGGGACAAGAGGGGGGGAAGGGGGCATATTCCTTTCCTCTGTTGTTGTTTTTATTCCTGTTTTAGCCTCTCTGGTGATTGAAAATCCAAAATCACAATAACTTTGGATTTTCAATATCCATAGTCATATTGTTTTTTTTTTGACGTCACTTTGGATAATAAAAATCTGAAGGCACCGTTGACTTCGGATTTTTAATATCGAAAATTACATAGAAATAGAGATTTCCAAGTCACTATTCAAAATCCGTAGGTAGGAGTGACTTCAGATTTTCAAGATCTGAAACGACTTTAATTCCCATTCTTGTTCAACAATTCCATTCCGAATCGTCAGGTTTTAAACTTTCCCTTCACCCATCCCAAGCCCAGGTATAGTAGGTAGGTTGCATTAGGTACGTAGCCAACGTAAGACTTCGTCACATCTTATCATGAATTTTGAACTTGTTAGCTCTTGATAGAAAAGAATTGAAGAACAAGATTCATGTAGCCGACCCCAATTACTTGGGATACATCTTGGATAATGATGGTGATGATGATCGATGGGTTTTCAAACATTGAACATAAGAGTTTTCTTGCACTTTCTATAAAAAGAATAAAAAATTTATGATGTTTGTGTATAGTGAGTACAAGTTTATTTGTAGGGGAAATATCAATAAATGGATCAAAAGATTACAAAATACATTTAAAGGTATGCATTTAAATTTGTATTTCAACTAGGTGCTTAAAAAATATTGAAAATTCCCAAATTACCTATATTTAGTACGGGGAAGTAATTATAGGTACTTTGGTAATCTTATCCCAAATAAGTACTTCTATCATTCAATTTAGGCCTTTTGGGGGTAAGATTACAATAGTACCCCTAATTGTGCTCACTTTCCAATACTAAATGAGCAATTTGGAAATTTTTGAAAAATTTTGATTAAATACCCATTTAAAATAAAAATTTAAAAGCATTACCCTTAAATGTAACTTGAATCTTTGCCCTTTACTCATATTTTAAAGCGTTTTATATTTTACCTTATTCGTATGGTGGGTGTTATACCTTGAAGGAGGCGAAGCAGCATGGCCATGCTAGCATTGATGGTGGGTGGTAAAATTGGGCCAAACACTGCTGCTGGATTTATAACCACCACATCCAACCCCTCATCCTTTGCAAAATCCCACGCAACCTTCTCAGCCAATGTTTTTGAAGCCGAATACCAGAGCTGCAAAAACAAGAAACAAGAGATTAATTTTCCAATCTTCCTCCCATAGATTTTTCAATCCCGGGAAAAGCCAATCCTGAAAGCTAGATTCATTGGAATTGACATTTTCTAGAATATGGTATATGTTGTTTGAATCGTATTTGGTAGAAATCAAGAAAATGCAAATTTTTTGTTTGGATTACCTCGAATATCTTTTTCTCGAATATCCAAATATCTTTTTCTTGAATATCCAAATCCTCTCTCTAAAATTTGCGAGAGTTTCTCTCTAAAATTTTATCTAATATTTTAAGAGTAATAATACTATAAGATCATCCCGAACCTATGTGAGTAGGATCCCAAAACGATCACCATTAAATTTTGACACATATCTTTAAAAAAGTTACCATTCGGGTAGTTTCCCTCTCTAAAATTTGATACATTTTCTAATCTCTAAAATGTTAATATGCTTTCTTTCTCTCTCTAAAACTTAAAATTTGAGATAATTTCTCTCTCTAAATGTTTTGAGATATTTATCTCTGGAAATTTTTAAGCAGTTTCTCTATCTAAAATTTAATGTAGTTTCTCTCACTAAAATTTTAATATATTTTCTCTCTCTAAAACTTAAAATTTAAGATAGTTTCTCTCTCTAAAATTTTAATACGGTCTCTCTAGAACTTCAAATTTGAGATATTTTTTCTCTTTAAATATTTGAGATAGTTTCTCTATCTAAAAAATTCGTATATTTTCTCTCTAAAAAATTTTGTATACTTTCTCTTTCTAAAATTTAATGTAGTTTTCCTATCTAACATTTTAATATATTTTTTCTCTCTAAAATTTGATATAGTTTCTCTCTCTAAAATTTTGATTTTTTTTTATTCTTTTGCAACAAAATGGGTCATTTCCATAAATGTCAATTCCACCTATTCAGGTCGAATTTAGATTTCCAAAATTCAGGCTTAAAGTGAGCATTCAGTAATTTCAAGGAAATCTCAATTCTAACTGAAATGTCAATTCTAAGTGAACCACATACGATGGGCCGAGCTTTTTTAGAAAAAGTGACTCTTAGAAATCTGAATCCAATGATCCCAACGGTCCCTAAGTTCACATGGCAATAGGGGTGGCAACATGTCGGGTATGGGTAGGGTTAGGCTAGACCTAGACCCGAATCCGGACGCAAATAGCATTCGGGTCCAAAATTTGGACCCGTATCTAGGCCCATCGGGTCGTAGGTATGGTTGGATCCATTGCCACCCTATGACTATGAACTTATTTTATTTTATTTTTTTTTCTTTTTTGTTTTTACCTTTTGTATGAGTATTTTTTTTTTTTCCAATAATACTGTAAATGAATGCTGCCACTATTGTGACAATATTAGCATGACCTATAGACACATGATTGTCATCATATACCCAATGATAATGGGTATGGGTTGGTCTAACTAGAACCAGACCCTGACCTAAATAATATCCGGGTCTAAAATTTAGACTTATACCCAAACCAAAAGTGAGTAATACCTATTGGATTCCCGGTCTTAATGAGTCCATTGCCACCCCAACAAGGCAGTATAGCCAAAACTAGATGCTACGACATGTTTTAAAGAAAGAGAGAGAGCACGCTAATGTTGTTCATTCCTCTTAAGAGAGAGAGAGAACACGCTATGTTGCCCATTCCTCTTAGAGGGAGGTACCCACGTTAGTTCCAGCATTACATAAAGAGAGAGAGAGGCCCAATATTTAAAGTGGTCATAAAATAAAATAAATAAATTTGATACGCATTTGGATGTTGAAAAAAATGAAAAATCGGACGAACAAGACCTTTGTATCAATATCTCATATATTAAGACAATCACGTAATAACAGTGAAATAACACGATACCGACTTAATTTTCCCCAAAAACAAAAAGAAAACAAAAAGAGGATCAAGTTTTCATTTTTACCCCAACAAAACCATTAAGTTCACATAGCAATAAGGCCGCCCCTTTTGGTGAGAATGGTCGGTAATATGGCAAAGGCCCCAACTTATTCTAGAGAGGACCAGTTTGAGTTCAGCATTTCATTTCTTATATAGAGAGAGAAGGGGTGTGGAGAAGGGAATTTACCCCATTTTGCTTGCAGTAGTCAAGATCGGTCCAGCAATCCTCATTTTTGATGGCATCATCAGGATAATTAGGGCTGGGGACGATTGCACAGTTGGAGGATGTGACCACCACTCGCTTAACTCCTGCTGCTTTACATGCCCGAAGGGCATTAAGCGTGCCCTCCACTGCAGGCTCCAGAAGCTCCCTCTGCACATCCCCACTGTTATCATGCGCAGAGAAGAGAGAGAGAGAGAGTTAACAATGAACAGAGAGAGAGGGAAGGAGGGACCTTGGGGTCGCGGACTTGATCCACGATGCAGGGGGAAGCGAGATGGAAGACACCAGTGGCGCCATCAATGGCGGCAAAGAGAGAGTCATAGTTGAGAAGGTCCACTTGGAAGAGGCTCAGCCTGCTTTCCGCACCTTCTAAGCCTTGCAGGTGCTTCGTCTCCTTTTCGTTTTCTTTAAATCACACATAAAATTCAGAAGAGAGAGATAGAGAGGACATGAAATTCAGTTGAGAGAGAGTTAGAAATGCAATTAAATGAGAAGAATTGAGAGAGAGAGAGATCACTGATGTCTTGGACTGTGGCTCGAACAGTATAACCACGGTCGAGAAGGAGGCGAACGAGGGTTGACCCAATAAACCCGCTACCTCCAGTCACACAGACACACTCATGCCGCGCCATCTTTCTCTCTAGTTTTCTTGTCGCGTGAACTGATCCCTCTCTAGTTTTCTTTCTGGAAGAGGAGCGGGAGAGGATATGTTCAGTGTAGAGCACGTAGACTCTGCTTTTTCGGGTGCATAGTTTATTTCTTCCCCCTCACTTATCTGACCTATTTGGAAAGAGTTTTTAAATTAAAAATTTTGGTAACTATGTTAGAATCCCCATATAATTATTTCAAAAAGGGTGCGGTTACTATAAGGTTGCAACTTAACCAATTCGAAGCATCTTAAAATTTTATCATAACATGGAATTTTGTTATAAAAAATTTAAAATTTTATCATAACATGGAATTTTGTTATAAAAAATTCTTACTTTTATCTTAAAATCTATTTTCATACCTAATTAGAAAATTTTAAATTTAAAAAATGGTTAAAATCAAGTAGATCTATAAATATATGAAAATATTGAAAATGGACGGTCTAGATAATATGTTCCAAGATGCACTATTTCCGATATTCAAAAACTTTTTTTTTCATATTTGTAGATCTCGATGTTAAGATGATTGATTAGAGGGCTTTTTCAACATTAAAACAACAATTTCGATAGATTTTTGAGGTGCATATGTGATTCTACATTTTAAGGTGGCAACCTTATATAAATTTTTCCCTTTAAAAAATAAATAAAATTGAAACTTAGTTTTCTTTCGCTTAGATCTCATCCTTTAAAAACTGGACCCAATTTCTATGTGGCTAAGCCCACATATATAGAAATGCGTGCCTCTGCATAAATCTATTTTTGACATGGATTTTAAGACTTAATTTTTAACGACATGTAATGTCTAACATGGAGATCATGAATATGAAAAGATAATAAATTTTAAAAATTAAAAACCATAACTCTAGTAAGAAAACATTTGGACCATTAGTTTCCATTGTTTTTAGATGGAACACCTACTTGCTTCTATATTAAGATGGATGCTTTACACTTTCTGGATTGCATGTGTAGGAATCTTGTTCAGCCCTCATGAAACAATTTTCTTAAAAAACTAGAGGGTTTCTACTCAACCTTGAGACACCATTATTTTCAGGGTTTCTACTTAACCTTGAGACACCATTATTTTCAAGTACTTGGAGGGTGCAATTAAGAAAATTTTTGTAGTGTGTAAAAACGTTATATCCCCAAATTTTATGGCCTAAAACTAATCCTAGGTGGGATTTTACCTGATGGTGGAAAGGGACAATATACTCCCGAGGGAGTAGAATATCGTTTCACTTCAATGAAAGTTGTGCACAATTTCAAGCTGCATACTGCGCTTTCACGCCTAGAGATAGGAGCTTTGAATAGGACATGTGAGGTACCTATCAAAATGTTATTGTGAAAGTATTTTAATGTGAAAGACCTCGTCTTATTGATTTAGGTGTAGGAGTTTTTCACAATAATTAGCTCCTGAAAAAAATATATCGGAACTAATTAATATAAAAAAGACTACGTAAAAATTACTCTAAAACAAACTCTAACTGTAGTCTATGTATAACAATCAAAGTCATAGAGGAGAAAGAGATCATATATCTATTGTACATGGAAGTCACAATCATTCTCACACATTAAATATCAAATTGAATGGTTTAGGGTGAGTCATGAAGTCCGAGAATTTTTTTAGGAATTTTTGCCTCTTCAATGGCACTCTTACAAATATCCATTTTGTAATTTAAGAGACACAAATGATTGTGACCTCCATGTATAAAAGATAAATAGTATCTTTATAGAAATGGTTTCTAAATCATTTTGAATGCCCTTCGACTGGATTCTATGTGGGATGCTCCCATCTTGAAAGCAATTGATGCTTTCGACATAGGATTTCTTTGTGATACAAGTGGTGTCTTGGGCGAGTATTTACTATGGTTTTTTAGTTTTGAAAATTTTTTTGTATTTGATTTTAGGGAAAATATCATATTATTTTCTATTTTTAACTTCTATATCTCATTAGATCCAAATGTTGAAAATATTACTTATAAGAAAAAAATGCTCTATCTTTTCTATCTTCCAACCCCCTAAACCTTTTTGACCATGTATTATTGACCTCAACAACTTATGAAATGACTCTCTCTCTCACACACACATCATCGTCTTTCTGTCTCAAAACTGCATCTCTCTCTAAAATCCAAACTCTACCTCTCTCTCTCTCACATCATCATCTCTCTCCCAAAAGTCCATCTCTCTCCTTAAAAGTCAAACTCTCTCTCTCTCTCTGAAACTCCATCTCTCTCTAAAACCGAAACTCTACCTCTCTCTCTCACATCATCATTTCTCTCTCAAAAATCCATCTCTCTCCCTAAAAGTCAAACTCTATGTGTCTCTCTCTGAAACTCCATGTCTTTCTAAAACCCAAACTCCATCTCTCTCACACATATAAGAAGGTGTGCTCGTGTTCGAGCTCAAGTTGAACCTTAAACTCACTGAGAAGCGAAGAAACAGATATGGAGTTTTAGAGATAGAGAGATGGCGTTTGAATAGGGTGTCATTTTAATGTTTGTTTGGATAAAAAATTTACGGTCAAAGCGGTCCAAGGGTTTGTAAGATAGAAAAGATTGAGACATTTTTTCTACAAGTAATATTTTCAATTATTGGGTCTCATGAGATATGAAAGTTAAAAATAAAGGATCAGGAGATATTTTCCCTTGATTTTATTTCTTGTACTAATTTTTTACTCTTTTAAAATAATTTTTTGTATTTGATTTTATTTATTGAACTTGTTCTAACTTTTAACTCTTTTACTAACATTGACATCTATTTTGTGCACGATGTTGTTTTCATAATCGATATAAATTCCTATTGCAAATATTAATATCTTGACTTGATTATTCTCATAGTTTAAAGAAAGGAAAAAAATATCAAATTATTGAAGGAGATGAAAACTCTTAATTAATAGTAGAACGTTTGTTTTTAAATTTTCATTTTACTTGTATGCCTCTTTAAAGGATATCTTAAAAGGCAAAATTTCCCCTAATTTAGGGTTGGGAACCCTAAAGTAGCAATGGCATTTCTGTATATTAACCCACCTAGAATAAGAAAGAGTTTCTTTAGGCCTCATACGTTAGTAAAATTATTTAAGTGTCATTACCTATTAAGGGAATTTGGTTATTCTTGGGATATTTTCTTGAGAATACAATGCCACCACGGATTTTGACGGATTTCAAAACAAAAGTAAAAAATATTGAACTTTTTTTTTTTTTGGACGAATGTTCAAAAGTTTTATTGATGACTAAGTGAAAGAAATTACATCAGAACAAGTCAACAGCGAGGGTAACGCAACACCTCCTTTAGCCAAAGAATCGGCAATAGAATTTGCTTCCCGGCAAACATGATTGAACGAAAGAGAAGGTCCAGCTAAATATTTTATTTGCAACCACAAAGATCGCAATTCCCACGGAACCTTATGTTCCAATTTGCACCATTTTATCACATTCAAAGAGTCTCCTTCAATCCAGACATTACCAGTAATGTTCATCTCAATCAAGATTTTCAACCCACACAACAAAGCACTCAATACAGTAAAATTTGCTGTTTTTTCCCTTATCGGGCCAACAAAGGAGAAAATCATACAGCGCGTGGAGTCATGTACAACACCACCAATGCCGACCCTACCTGGATTCCAAAGGAACTTCTATCGAAATTTAGCTTAACGCTCCCAAAGTCAGGTGCCAACCAAAAGCTCTTCGGTCTAGAACGAGAAGTACCAAGGGAAAATAAATTGTGAAGATTAGACAAAACATCCACAATTGAAAACCCCAACCCTCTTTAGTCACAGATAGCCATAACAAAATGGATAGCTCAATATCAATATAAAAAATATTGATATTTTGGTTTTAAAAGAAGGGTAGCAGTTGGC